AATTTTGTGTTTTTATTAAAGACGGGGATCTCACCATGTTGGTCAGGCTGATCTTGAACTCCTGACCTCAAGTGATCCACTCACCTTGGCCTCCCAAAGTGCTGGGATTACAGGCTTGAGCCACCGCGCCCAGCTTTCAGACTTTTTTAACTCTGAGAAATATATTTTATCCTTTGGCCAGGAACTCAAAAAAAGAAATACACTTTACACTGTGACTTAGTACATACATGTAGGAGAAAAGTTTCCCAAAACAATACTTTTCCTTACCAAATGCAATGTCAGTTTATTCTGTTCTACATTTTATTTTCAATGCTGGTAAAAACTCACATTGATTTTGTAAATTACTAATAAATCACAATCCACAATTTGAAAAACACAGGCTTAAAAATGGATATCCTTTATAATAGGATCTTTTGGGCAATTTGCCTCTACCTGTCCCTTTAGCAGGATTGGCAGGTATTTTAAAGTTGTTACCATTATTACCGGTTTCATTAAAGTAAGTGGTTCTTAAAATGTGGTCCTCTGACCAACGTGATCATCATTTGAGATAAATATAAATTCTTGGGCCCCACCCCAGACCTACTGAAACCCCCAGGTGGGGCCAAGCAATCTACAGTTTACCAAGCCCTCCAGGTGATTTTGATGCAAGCTAATATCTGGGAGCCACCCCATTGAAGAAATCAGGTCTTTATCTTCTATTTAACAATCCAGTACACGCTACTATGTGCCACTCACTACCCTAAAATCTCTACAAGTACTGACAAGAAAAAAAAAAAAAAAAACACCTTATAAAGTAGCAACTATTACTGTTAGTATTCTGATGAGGAAACTGCACAGAAACTTAGCTAAGTGGTAGAACTCAAACTCCTTTTCAATTTAGCCGAGCATGCCTATCCTCTTTCTGATCAAGTATCTACTTTTACTCCTTTAGTTCAGCTACTCCTCCCCTTTTCCCTCTCAAATTCCCCACCCTGTCAATGAACCTATTTCCTAATATTACTGCCATCGTCCTAAAACAAATTTCTTTTCTAAAACAAGTCACTTAACCTTGCTTTTAGGAGTTTTTCTTTGGTCCTAGATGTCATCTTGGTATTAATTATGAAACTGAAGTTTCTTCTATTTCTGAAGACCTGTGAACCTATATGGCTCCACTGTTAATTTCTCATATATCTACTGTCCTAGCCAGTTCCACGAAACCATTGCTCTCTCCTCGGGCAACTTACTTTCTCTACCTTATCTACTACTCCCTCCTATAGGGATTCTCCCCCACCTCCGCTCATCTCCGTCCCATTTTGCAGGACTCCTCTCCAACCGAGGGAACTTCCACTTCCTGCTGGCTCCTCACCCCGGTCTCAAACCCGAGCCACTCCTCCAGGACTTCTTTCCTGGTCCCCTAGGGATCCTTAGACCCAGGAGCGGCCAGGCCAGTTGTGTCTCTCATCCCAATTCAGCTATGGGGGCGCAGGGCGCTTCGGTTCCTCCCCCAGGCGGTGCAAGATCTCTATTTGTCCGACTCTCCGAAGACCCGCTGCTCCTCATCTCCCCAGGAGCCCCCTCCCTTGGACAGCCGCTTTTCTCACGAGGGTCCCCAACCCCCTCCGAGCATTTCCTCAGACGCCCCTACTTGGAGCAAGTCTGCTCCCTGTCACCCGGGACCCCAGCCACCCTCGGCCTTCCTACCTCCCTCGGACTGGGGCCACTCCCAGTTCCCCTGCCGCCCACCCCCCACCCCGCTCTCTCCACACGGGCCGCGGCCGGGCTTCCCGGGTTCCCCTTCTCCCTGACACCCAAGCCGTCCTGGGTATTCCCGACACACCCCGCCCTCGGAGCAGGTCGTTACAGGTCACCCCCTTCTCTGGGACCCTGGCCGCTTCCGTTTCCTCAGATAACCTACTCCCCACACACTGGCCGCCGGTCAGCGCCCCAGACCGGAGCAGCTGGACGTCCCAAGGGACCTCCTGCCCTGACCCGCGTGGGTCCGGCCCTAGCCTACCTTCCTCGGGAGAACTCCGCAGCCAGAAGCCCAGCCATTCTCCCCGTAGCCCAGTCAGCGCGAACTCGCCGCCACCCCCGCCGCCTCCGCCCTGGCCCCGGCCCCGGCCCAGACCCGAAGTCCAGGCCCCCTTCCTCCGACCTCCGCCTGCGAAGTGCTGAGCTGGAGATTCCGCCCCGCGACGGCCACCAGATCTCTTACCCGCGTTACCGACACTCACCTGCCGCTGCCCCCGACCAACTCAAGCGCCACTGCCTCTACCTCGGCCGCCAGTGGCCACCGAGCGCCACCACCTCCCCCATGACAACAGGCCCACCCTCTTTCATACTTCTAACCTATCCATTGGATAATGGGGCGGCAGCTCTCCTCTCTGATTGGCTTAATTTACCCGCCCGTCATCGCTCTTTACCGCCCCTTTTCCTAAAACCGGTATTCGCCCCCGCCCGGACCTGGAGCGTCCTAGCCCAAGCTTTAGTTGTAATTGGTTGAGGGTTGGGCAATTCGAAGTTATGATAGGCTGCTAAAAGTGTCTGTTAAGCTAACTGGCAAGAGATGTGACGGCTAAGGTTGATTCACGCTTGTGCATGGTTTGGTTGCGCAGTGGAAGCAAAGGAGGAGTAGACGCTCACATCCGTGGTTACCCGGGAAGGGTTAACTCTTTGTTGTAGAGATTTCTCTGTAAACTCTTCCGCTTCTCCAGCTCCCTTCCTGCAAGGAGAAGCTTATCTCTGCTAGCTTTACTCATAGGGGTAGTACTTACAAAACACCAACAGCAGAGGTTGTGTTTAAGTAGTGTTTCCAAGCCCTGGGGAGAAAGGTATCAGAGAGATAAAAAATGTCCCCTTCTTTTCTTTGGTCTCAATGCACCCAGTTTCATTGAAGTTCTTTCCAGGCGCCTCCATGCTAAAGGGCAAAGCGCAAACTTTCAATTTAGCAGAAATCAGTTAACTTCGGTTGCAATTGTAAATGTCGTCAATAAACTGAAGTGGCGTATTGAGAGTTCTCCAGCTTCCAGATCCACTCCTGGCTGACCCCTGCCAATTGACCAGTCATTAGCAACTTTCTTTCTTTTTCTTTTTCTTTTTTTTTTTTTTTTTTTTGAGACGGAGTTTCTTGTTGCCCAGGCTGGAGTGCAATGGCGCTATCTCGCTCATTGCAACCTCCGCCTCCCAGGTTCAAGCGATTCTCCTGCCTTAGCCTCCCGAGTAGTTGGGATTATAGGCATGAGTCGGGGTTTCTCCATGTTGGTCAGGCTGGTCTCGAACTCCCAACCTCAGTTGATCCGCCGGCCTCAGCCTCCCAAAGTGCTGGTATTACAGGCGTGAGCCGCCACGCCGGGTTCGCAACTTTCTAATAAGCGGGCCACAATATATATACCCTTGTGATGCTCTGGAAATGAGAATTCTGCTTCCCCCCACCTCTCACTGCCACTTTGTTTTTCTGTTCAGCAGTTCTTAAATAGCCCTACTAGCTTTAGATACTTTAAAAGCTTCTCTCTCTCTCTCTTTCTTTTTTCTAAACCTCTCTTCCTAGCAGTCTAAATTAGGGCCATTGAATGAATTGCCGGGTTGTGTGTGTGTGTGTGTGTGTGTGTGTATGTGTATGTTTTTCCCCTCACTTGGCACAATGCACAAGAATAAATGATTGCATTTTTTATTCACTTGGGTACAAATCACAGTAGGCATTTTTGAGAAATCTGGTGTTGCTATAAAAACTCTTGTGCTCCTAGAAATATATTCATCATTAGCTTTTTGCTTTTCTTTTTTTTTTTTCCACCCACTTTTCCTGCTCCTAAATAACGAAATGCTGGTCTGATTACTCTTTCAATTTCTAAATCAGATTTAAATGTACCTTCTCACAACTTCAACTATGATACATAAACCCATGGGCCATGAAACATAACACCCAGGGATAGGTTAAGACACCGTCAGGCCGTGAAGTGGCTCACGCCTGTAATCCCAGCACTCTGGGAGGCCAAACTGGGCAGATCACCTGAGGTCAGGAGTTTGAGACCATCCTGGCCAACATGGTGAAACCCCTGTCTCTACAGATCGTGCCACTGCACTCCAGCCTGGGCAACAGAGTGAGACTCTGTCTTAAAAAAAAAAAAAAAAAAAAAAAAAGACACTGTCGGCCGGGCGCGGTGGCTCAAGCCTGTAATCCCAGCACTTTGGGAGGCTGAGGTGAGCGGATCACGAGGTCAGGAGATCGAGAGCATCCTGGCTAACACGGTGAAACCCCGTCTCTAGTAAAAAAAAATACAAGAAAACTAGCCGGGCGAGGTGGCTGGCGCCTGTAGTCCCAGCTACTCGGGAGGCTGAGGCAGGAGAACTGCATAAACCCGGGAGGCGGAGCTTGCAGTGAGCCGAGATCCGGCCACTGCACTCCAGCCTAGGCGACAGAGCGAGACTCGTCTCAAAAAAAAAAAAAAGACACTGTCAAGGAGGCATTCCCCTCAAGGATGTGGACTTTGGAAATTTTGTGCTTTGTCCCTTTCTTCTTTCTGCTAACTCTATGTCTCATATTTCTTCTATTTACTAACCTCCTTGTTCTTTGCAGAGCAAGTTACAAGGAGTCTAAAACTGTATGGTTTATTATTCAGAAAAATATTGTCTATTTTCTAGCCTATATTTTTAGTCAAGTTTAAATAAAGTACATACTTCTATCACCAAACTAAGCAGAAATTATTCCTCCAGTAACTATACATAACAATAAAGTGCCTTTTCCTAGTTATTTTCCGGAACTTTCCTCCCCCTCCTCTCTTCCTCACCTTCCAATTTAGAAATAACCTCCCATTCAATTCAGTGACTCACAAAAAGCCTGTGAAAGGAAAGTGGAAAAGCCAAAATAACTTAGAGATGTCTGAATCATTCAATTGAAGGAAAGATCAGACATTGACCATGATAAGAAAGACGCCAAGACATAAGGCAAGCCTGAGCTAACATCCCATAACATATGAAGTAATGCAAATGTGAAGATGCCCCAAGAAAAAGCAAATACCAGTATGTCCTTTTACACAGCCTTTTAATGTATCACCAGCAGCTTGCTTCTCTCTAGTCTTGGCAGTGTGCCGTGCTACCAATTTTAGAGCAAGTTAGAAGACAATTAATGTCCTGACAGATAGGAAACAATAACGTCATAGCAGGGCATGACCCTTATTATGGTACTTTGGGTAATAATGGCTCTTGCACAGCCATAGTGACTAGGTGCCGTAGAGAACATAGAATTAGGCCAGCCTTGTTAAGTGGACTTGCCATCTAAGTTTAGGAACGCAGCAAAATTACTATCACAAAACTAGGTGGAAAATTGTCACAAAAGTCAGCCGCTATTTCATACGCTAAAAAAAAGAAAAAAGAAAAAAAGCATGCATAAACGCTTTTGCTCATACACACACATCTATCATTCCTGTTCTTTGTGAATATCAGTTAAGAAAGGACATATAAAATAAATACATTACAACCCAGTAAGAAGTGGGAAAACCTTAAGGAAGGTTTTAAGGAACATGCCTTGAAATAACAGAAGGCTATTGTGTTATCAAAGACTGTGCAATACCGGAGGGGTTATTGCTTGTATCCTACATTTTGCTTTCACGTGCACAAGGTAACCCTATCATGTAATTACTCCATCCAGCTTTTCTCTTTTCTTTCCTGTGTTTTGTGCTTCTCCACCATTCTCAGGGCTCCCTCTCAGAAAGCAAGAACACTGGAGTCTGGGAGTCTGCAGCTTCATGTTGCATGGCTGGCTGTGGAGGTCCTGCAGATGGTATCTGTTCAGAGCCACTTGGGCACGACCAAAATGGCAGGTACCCTCGGGGCAAAAATAGCGTTTATAAATCCCAATTAAGCAGAAAACAGAGGACTCAGAGAGATGTCCAATATCTGAGGAGTGATATAGTGTGCCTTGGGCTTTCCTGTATACTAATGCTGTTTCTCCTGCTCTTTCATAATGTCACTTTTCAAGGAAGAAGAATCCAAGTCTCCTTCCATTTCTATTTTAGCCCACAGGGGCAGTCTCACTAGAGAAAGGATCCATTTTTTACTTTTGGATTTTTTTCCTTTGGATTCTACGCACGATTCCAATTCCAACTAGATTAGAGAAATAAACAACCGGTGGAGAAGAAAATCACTCAGATAGCAGACAAGGGCCAGAGCTGCCTGCCACTAGCAGTTGGAGGCAAGCCAAAATATTTGATAAGACGTAGTTTCCTGAGTTAGGGATCCCTGAGGGTGGAGGCTGACAAAGATGAAGGGATTAGAGAGAAAGGGAGGGAAAAGGAGGGAAGAGGAGGAGATGAGGGGGCAGGAGAGAAAAGGGTAAGAAAAGCTAGAAAAACAGTCAAGAAGCCCAATCAGAGTGCTGAGCCAGCTTACCGTCCTGCCTCGCCTACCTCCTACTGCCACCCATGTGGACTTTACACCAGGTTGCATAATTATACCAGCAAAATGCAGACTCTGCCACTGGTTAAAAGGGAAAGCATGCCAGGCTCCAGCCTATGGGACCGTTGTTCTGCTGCCACCTGGAAATCCTCCCAGAGCTCAAAGCCTGCTGCTCTGGGCAAAGCTGACAAGGAAGGACGGATTCATGCAGCCAACCAAGGAGCATACCTCCGTTTGATTTCCTTAAGGTGACCACTGGCAAAAAGCACTGGCTAAACAAAGGGAGACTATCTGGGAGAAGGTGTTTTTACCCTTTCAAGCTGGGGTGCTTTCACCACAGGGAAGTGCTGCGCTGCTTTCCACGCTGGAACAAGGCACTGTGGTTTCAAAGTTCAAGGCTCTGTTTCAGGGATGGGAAGAAAAAAAAATCAGTGAAAGGAGGTGTTCTGGTCTCTCGGGCAGAACCATTTGTTATCTGATTCCAGAGCTCGTGTAATTTTTAAATACCACGCTATGCCTTTTCATTACTAAATGCATTCATTTTCATCCTCAAGAAAAGTGTATGCCCCCTTCCACCTGCTTTACATATTGTGGGTAAGATGGCTTGAGTGCTTGTAAAAATGGATGGACTGTAGCTCTCAGTTCTGCCATTGTGCTATTGACTGGAGCTCCTGGTTACTATCACCAGATCTATGGGTGGATCAACCATTCTTCTGCAGCAGGGAGTGGACCCACTGAAAGCACTTAACACCATTTAAACTTTTGTCCATCTCTGTTTTACATGCACACAAAGAGTTTCCTGGAAACATGGCTACACTCCAAGGATTTCAGAGAATAGAATTCTTCTAGAACTGCAGTGTCCCAATCACTTGGAACCTCATCAGAAAGCAGACTTAAACTCAGAACCTAGAACCTAGAACGTAATATGTTCCAAAAGCTTTGGCTCTGCCATTTACCGACTGTGTAATTTGGAGAACATTGATTCATCACCCTAAAGCTTCGTTTTCTTCATCTATAAAATGAGATATGTATTAGCTATCTTGTCTTGCATAACAAATTACCCAAAACTCAGTAGCTTAAAACAACATTTATCATCTCAGTTTCTGTGGGTCAACCCTCTGGCTTTGGGTCTCTTATAAGACCACAGTCATCTCAAGCTCACCTGGAACAGATCTGCTTCCTACCTCACTCACCTGGTTATTGTTGGCAGGACTCACTTCCTAAAGCCTTGGTTCCCCAGGAGCTGTTGGCCAAAAGCCTTCCTTGGTGCCCTGCCTCAATGACCTCTTCGTAGAGCATCTCACAACATGGCAGCTTACTTCATCAGTGCAAGCAAGCAAGAGTAACAGAGAGGGCTCACCAGAGAGAGTAATAGCAAAACAGAAGGCACAGTCTTTTGTAATCCAATCACAGATGTGACATCCCATCACTGTTGCCACATCCTGTGAGTTAGTAGTAAGTCATTACGTCCAGCCCACACTCAAGGAGATTACACAAGGATGTAAAGACCAGCAAGAGGATCAGTCGGAGCTATTTTAGAAGCAGCCTACTCTAAGATTATAATAATATCTAGGGTTTGTTTAAAATTTAAATTTGAGATTACATGGCGGCAGCTACTTGGGAGGCTGAGGTGGAAGGCTCACTTAGGCCAGGGGCGTTTGAGACCAGCTTGGGCAACATAGTGAGACTCCTCCATCTCTTAAAAAAAAAAAAAAAAGAAAGAAATATATGTGTTTATTTTTAAATATACAAAAATCAAATTAGAGAATATGTTCAATTCAGAGCCAGCATGTTATGTAATATATAACTGTTATATATAATAACTATTATTACCATTAATATTATTATTGAGTATATAGTGGCTGGTTTTCTCCCCTAGCTCCTAGAAAGAACCCTTTTATGAGGAGTAAATGAAATAATATATATAATTCAGGACCCTGACATGTAACAAATGCTCAATAATCATTAGTTATTGTTAACTAATGCCGGGCGCCGTGGCTCACGCCTGTAATCCCAACACTTTGGGAGGCCGAGGCAGGCGGATCACGAGGTCAGGAGATCGAGACCATCCTGGCTAACACGGTGAAACCCTGTCTCTACTAAAAATACAAAAAAATTAGCTGGGCATGGTGGCGGACACCTGTAATCCCAGCTACTCAGGACGCTGACGCAGGAGAATGGCGTGAACCTGGGAGGCGGAGCTTGCAGTGAGCTGAGATGGCACCACTGCACTCTAGCCTGGGAGACAGTGAGACTCCGTCTCAAAAAAAAAAAAGAAAAAAAAATTATTAAAAAACGTGTGATATTTGATACTCTCTCCAAGCTACTGGAAGGAAATACTATGAACTCTCATTACTTTTCCAGGGTGGCCTTATTTCCATATATTTTGTACAGTTTTTCCATTAGCACCCTATACTCACCAGAGCACAATTCCAGATTTGGGGTTCATAAAATATGACCACCAAAGCCATAACACAGTCTAATTTCCTGCCTGCCCTATACCAAGAAGGGTATTCCCAAAACCAGTAAAATGGGCTAATTATGGCCGCACCTCCTACATGCACATGAGCCTGGCCCTAATCAGAATCCAGAGAGAAGGGATTGTGCCTGGGAGAATGACCAGAGACTTGGCTATGTGACCTATGTCTCTTTCAAAATATGGTCATCATTGTGCAGTCTACTGAGTCAATCCTCAACTAAGAATGAGAGAAAGAGGGACCTACACATTGCCTACAGATGGGATAAGAGTGTCCAAGAAGACGTTTTCACACCTGGGTTGGAAGTAGTAAGAACCGATAAAAATAAAGAGCAATTTTGCAATTAGAAAGTTGGAAGAGAGAGTCCAGTTTGCAACATGAAAGAAAGATCACTAAGAGGCTGGAGTCACCCTTAAGGCCTGGGTTGAAACTGACTTCCTTATAAAGGTGGAGGATATTGAGGGTTGGCCTGTGGCCAGGAAAAATGAGGAACTATAATCAAGAAAACCCCATTATTTTGGCCTTGAGTCATTTTCAGGGCTCACCCACAATTATTACATAAGAAAGACAGAAAAAACAAAAACCTCCTAAAGTGTAAATGATCCTTAAACTAAAAACACTGTAGAAATACAAAGATCCAGGCTGGGTGTGGTGGCTCATGCCTGTAATCCCAGCACTTTGGGAGGCTGAGGCGGGCAGATCACCTGAGGTTGGGAGTTCGAGACCAGCCTGACCAACATGGAGAAAACCCGTCTCTACTAAAAATACAGAATTAGCCAGGCGTGGTTGCACATGCCTGTAATCCCAGCTACTTGGGAGGCTGAGGCAGGAGAATCACTTAAACCTGGGAGGCGGAGGTTGCGGTGAGCCAAGATAGCACCATTGCACTCCAGCCTGGGCAACAAGAGCGAAACAATGTCCAAAAAAAACGCCGGGCGCGGTGGCTCACGCCTGTAATCCCAGCACTTTGGGAGGCCGAGGCGGGCGGATCACAAGGTCAGGAGATCGAGACCACGGTGAAACCCCGTCTCTACTAAAAATACAAAAAATTAGCCGGGCGCGGTTGTGGGCGCCTGTAGTCCCAGCTACTCGGGAGGCTGAGGCAGGAGAATGGCGTGAACCCGGGAGGCGGAGCTTGCAGTGAGCTGAGATCGCGCCACTGCACTCCAGCCTGGGCGACAGAGCGAGACTCCGTCTCAAAAAAAAAAAAAAAAAAAGAAGAAGGAAGGAAGGGAGGAAGGAAAGAGAGAGAAAGAAAGAAAGAGAAAGATCTAAGTCTTTGCAACTTATCTGTCTCTCTTTCTGTCTCTGTCTCTGTTTCTTCTCCTCTCGCCCATATTTTATTTACACATGTTCTTTCGTTTCTTTTCCACACAGAAGAAAACTACCCTTACAAGGAAATGGCTTGGGATCCTCTAGGCTGGGATTGTTTTCAGATCAGAAATCATCTTCTCTCAACTGTCTCCACTGTAGTGCTACAGGATTAGAGCTCAGTATTCACAGATAATGACAGTTTACACCTCTGCCTCTAAATCAAGTCACCTGTGCAGCTGTGATTTACAGCGTTCGAATGATTTTCTGCGCTGCACTAGCCCCGGCCCTTTCTTCTCCTGAAACGTTCTCAAACTACCAGATTTGTACACAGAAAGGCTCAAAGCAGAAGTTACTGGGAAAGTTCTGTAAACATGAAGAGGAGATGTACACCAATATCAAGTTCCTCTTCCTGTTACTCTGGTTTTCACTCCTTCCCATTCTGTGTTTCCTCTGTGTCTGAGACAGAGGAGACTTGTATGTTTCCATACCTGTTAACAGCCGGAGATAACTTTGTTCTGCCCCTTGGCAGGTGAGTGGATTTTAGAAGGGAAAGGATAGGGTAAAGAGATGAGGACTCGCCCCCAGGAAGTCTGACTATACAATAGGAATGGTGTATTTATTTATTCAGCCCTTTCCTACACTGCAGTCAAAGCAGCAGCCATTTCATTTTACCCTCAGGATGTGTATTTAGTGGTAAGCTTTCTTTCTTTTCCTGTTAGTTTCCTGCAAAAGGACATCAGTGTCTTCCTCATTGGAGCAGCTGATAAGAAGGATGTTGTTGCTTAAATGGAGACAGAAAAACATATTTCCTATCACAGACCCAGGCCATCCCAAGGGCATGGAGAATGAGACCAGGTTGTGGAAATAATGGAAGAACCTGATTTTCATGCCTATTTCCCTGGTGCCATCTTCTTCCCTGAAATACTCTGCAATAATTACGCCTTCCACTTAAGTAGGATTTCACACTTTTCCAAAGTAGCATCACGTTGTACAGAAGCAGAGTTGGCTGCACTGTAGTTGGCATAGCCGATTAGTTACTTTGGAGGGTTTATATGAAGAGGCAACTTTGGGTTTAACTTTAAGTTTTGGGGAACTCATATAAATAGCATAGGTTTACCCTAAGTTGGATTCCATTTGCTAGCTCCCTCCTATCCTACAGATCTCATCTTCAAAGGTACTATTACAGGGGAAGCTTCCTGATATCCCTCTTCCAGCCACACTGGGTTGGGTGCCCCTCTTATACACACTGCACTTCCACTTTGGATACAAATATCCCGTGGGTAAACTTGCTCAGTGCCTATCCATCCAGCAACACGTCAGCACTATAATACCAGGGACAACAACCTTCCTGCTCGTAGCTGCCTAGCATAGGGCCTGGCCCACAGTAGTTCACTAAATATTTAGTGAATGAATGAGTGAGTCAGGAATTGCCTCTAGGAGCAGCCTTACCACCTGACACAATCACTTATTTTGGGGTGGTGCTCTGGGAGTTATAAAAAAGGCATGTGCTAATTATCACATAATGATCACCAGTGGTTATAGTAATTAGTAGGCAAAAGCACAGTGGTGGATTATGACTAAATAAAGGTCTCCACCAGGTTGGGGGCTATCCTTGCACTCTGAATTTGGAATCCCACTGCCCATCTCTCTTGGACTCCTGTGGACAGGGTCATTCCTTTGGGAAATTCTGTTTGGAGTTGCCAACACTGGGGAATAGGGAGAATTAAGCTCCATGTCCCCAAACTCAGTGAAATCTTTCTGATATGAAAATTAAATTAAAGAACAAGGCCAGTGGTGGCCCTCTGCTGCTTTCCTTTCAGCCTCTGAGACAGATTTCCCCATCAAGGGTCTGCGCTGAGTCATCCCGCCTCCAGCAGAAATAAGTCAGCAGCACCCTGAGGATGGGTGATGGAGGCAAAGACTCATCCTGCTAATCTCCTCCCACGGAGGCCAAGGTTCATGGTCTTGGCCCTCTCCCTGGGAACAAGAGGGCAACCCAAGAGAAAAGACTCTTCCTTCCCACTCCTGTCTCCCTTACAAGCTCATTGTCTGTGAGTTCTCTTTCTTCTGCCAATGGAAGTAGAGGATGGAAATAGAGGAGGAGGAAGAAGAAACCAAAGGGCACAGGACTGTACTTTGCTGACTGGGGAGAGGTGGGACACGTGGGTGGGGGGTATGAATTGGGATGAAGGATGACAAGACATGAAGAATCCTTGGAGGTTCTCCAACAATTCTCACATACAGGACAGCTAAGGCACAGCCCAGTTGCAGAGACACCAGGGAACCCAGAAATGTAAATAGTGGGAGGTGATGACAGCAAAGAAGCAGGCAGATCTGATACACAGGCCCCTACACAGAGCTACGCCCTGTGGGAGAACCACAAACTGCCTAAGACTGGGTAGCAAAGAGAGAGTGGGCGTTCAGTGTGAGACCTTGAATCAGAGGTTCACACTCTATATCTAGCTCAGTCTCCAATTTGTGGGGAGGACCCAGGTGAAAGATGAATGTCAGAGATGTGGCTTAATCAGCTGCCTATGGGATGGGCACATATTTGGGAGATACTTTGAAAT